AATTTGAGTAAAAATCCCTCACCTTATTTTCTGTTATGGAATTGAAGTTTAATTATAAATAATATGGTATTTTGCGTAATTTAGAAATATCGATAATTAAAGGTTACTAATGGAGTCAGAATCGGTTATTTATTATTGTTTGCCATGTTTAACTAATTGATTGATTTTACAGTTTCGAATGCATGATAATACACTGGAATTGGTATGATAATTCGATTGTATTTCCTTGATGTATGTATTACTTGTTTTACGTTATTTACAGTTAATTGAGAAACAGAAAATTAAAGGTAAATGAGAAATTGTTTGATTAAGTACATAAATAAATGGCAACCTTATTGGATATTCTAGAAGATGGTAGACGAATCGGGTACATAGGGAACCCTACTGTGAACGTTGCCTTATACCGGATGGGGTATCGAGGATTTGTATTTTGGTGCTCATACCGGACGGGGTATGGGGACGGTCCATTTACCCTCATATCGGACGAGGTATTGAGGGATGGTATTTTTTGACGCTCATACTAGACGGGGTATGAAAACGGACTGTTAATTAAAAATGTTGAATAAAGGTTCACGCGTAGTAGGGACATTTCTATGGACCCCCATAGATACTGATAGGCTGATAAAGGAGAAAGTTGTTGTTCACACTGATTGAATATGAGATTATGATATTATTTATGTTATTGCCTCTGTAGGTCAGTTTTGAAAATCTCACTACGATAAGTATTCGGTAAATAATTTTATTTATGATAAACGAATTTACTTAAATTAAGAGCTCTATTAGTTGTTTTTATGATTTCTACCAACCTTGATTTTTATGTTGGTGAGTAGTGTGACATTCTTACTGAGCTAGTGTAGCTCACTCTTTCATTAACCATTTCAGATCAAAAGGACTAAGATCTAGAGTCCGATCTACAAGAGGGTTGCGAATAGGATGTCCAGTTGTCTACTTTTCATTTATTTCTTTGATTTTTCGTTATTTTTTTTAAAATTGTCATTCTCTTATCCCTATTGGGTAATCTAAATTATTGTGTAAGGAATGTAAACCCTAACGCTATTATTTTGCTTCCGCACTTAATTTATCATTTACTTCCTTTTAATTTTCGGGTCGTTACAATTGGTTTCAAAATAACATTCATCGGAACCATTCCTTACACAAAAATCCTAGAAAATCCCAAAGAATGAATTATCACTCAAATATTCATTATGAAATGCAGGTATAGATAGATGAGGAGAGGAATACCCCCACTAAACTGAGCAGTCCTGGAGGGTTCGCTTCGAGAAGATGTTGATCGATTGTTTGAAATGCTGGAGAGACTCATCGCTGCCTAGTAAGCCCGAAAGAAAAGGAGGGAACTAGCTTACCCTCCCCCGCTATCACAGGTTGAGCCACCCCTACAACAGGAGGATCCTGAGCTGTCCCGGTACGACCCTGCTCCTCTACAGTACCATCCAGCACCACTACAATATGATCCGGTGCCTCAACCGCATTACCCGATACCACTTCAGTACAATCCAGTGCCTCCGCCGTATCATCTAGTTCTACCACAGAGCCATCCAGTCCATCCCCAGCACAATCCAGTCCCTCTCCCACGGGACCCAGCTCCTCCCATGATGGACCCAGACTACATTGAGAGGTATAAAAGACTAAACTCATCTATTTTTGTAGAGGGATTTTCTTTTGAAGAGGCCGACTACTGGTTAGCTGAGACAGAGAAGACATTCACGACTCTTGGGGTGATTTTCGAACAGAGAGTCATACTTGCCACCTATATGCTGGTGGGAGAGGCAGGCCACTGGTGGTAACTCAAGCAGGCCACTTTACCCGTTCCAATCACTTGGGAACAATTCTTGATGGCCTTTAATGCAAAGTACCTCCCAGAACATCTCTGACATCACCTAGTCCAAGGTGACATGACTGTATCAAAATATGCTTGAAAGTTCTAAAGTTGGGCCGGTATTCCCTTGAGAGCATGATGGATGAAGGCAAAAAGGCATGAAGGTTAGAGTGGGGCCTCTGTCCTTAGATCAGACAGCAGCTGTATGTATTCGAGCTCAGTACTTACTCGGTTGTGTTGGCCAAAGCACAACTAATGTAGAGGTTCCTTCTCATTTTTCCTCAAGCAGTAGGGAACCTCAGGCCCTCGGTTTCACACCACAAACCAGCACCTACTGCATCTGTTCAGCAAGACAAGAGACCTAGACTAATGGCTCAGTCTCCTCATCAGATTCCAACAACAGGACGCGGCAGGATTTGCCAACACTGTGGCAAAGATTATGGGGACCGACCTTGCTATTGCTTCAACAATACCTGCCGCATATATGGGAGTGCCCGAGGAATCAGAACTAGACCAGACCTTTTATCCAAGGCAGAGCTTACAACCTCACTCAGCAGGATGCAGAGGCCAATCCAGATGTGATACAGAGTACGTACACTATCTGTAATCATCTTGCACATGTTTTGATTGATATTGGTGCCTTACATTCATTTGTTTCACATACTTTTGCATTAAACTTGAATTTATTATCTGAACGACTTGATTCTGTATTGTTTGTGTCTACTCCTGAGAGTAGGACACTACTGTGAGAGGTTATATACAGAGCCTGTGTTATAAATATAGCATATAAAAAATTGAGTGTGGACCTAATAAAAATTGACACAGGGGACTTTGATGTAATCGTAGGAATGAACTGATTAGCGGTGTATCACGTCACTGCAAATTGTTTTCATAAGAAGCTTATATTCAACCCTTCTAATGAGGAGTCATTTACAAATTAATAAAATTCTCTAACATTTGTTCTCTCATGGAAATTTTTCCTATTAACAAGTGCTTTAACTCGGCTTTTTTCTCTAACTAGGCAAATCTAAGAAAGAAATTTTTATTCAAGAGATTTCGGTAGTCTGAGACTTCCTGGATGTGTTCTCGCATGAACTACCTGGACTGCCAGTGGATAGAGAAGTTGAATTCACCATAGACCTTCAGCCAAACATTCAGCCTATTTCGGTTGCCCCTTACTGCATGAGTCGTGTTGAGATGAAGAAGTTAAAAAAACATATCAATGCGTTGTAGGATAATGGATTCATCCGATATAGTGTGTTCCCTTAGGGTGCTGGAGTCACATTTGTAAGGAAGGGGGATGAGATGTTAAAATTATGTATTGACTATAGATGACTGAACAGGGTTACGATCAAGAATAAGTACCCCTCCCTAGGATCGATGACCTTTATTATCAGTTGCATGGTGCCAAAGTCTTCTCCAAAATAGACTTACGTTCAGGTTACTATCATTTAAATATCAAGGCAGAAGACATTCCTAAAATAGTTTTTCGGACCAGGTACGGATACTATGAATTCTTGGTCATGCCATTTAGACTAACCAACGCATCAGCCATCTTCATGGATATAATGAACAGAGTTTTCAGATAATTCTTGGATCAGTTTGTCATTGTATTTATCGACGATATCCTGGTCTATTCAAAAAGTAGAGAGGAGCACGCTCACCATCTTATTCAGGTTTTGCAGGTTCTTAGAGAAAAGAAGTTGTATGCAAAGCTGAGTAAATATAGGTTCTGACTCGAGCAGACTATCTTCTTAAGGTACATCATATCAAGTGATAGAGTGTCAGTAAACTCCGAAAAGGTTGAAGCAGTACTCAGTTAGGAAAAATTAACATCGATCAAGAAAATTTGTAACTTTCTGGGAATAG